GCACTATGAAAGTTGGAGGTCAAAGTTAAAATTTGAAGCCAAGTTTAAGGTCCAATATATGTATTATGCCTTTAACTATATATGAAATATACACTAATTATACATTAAGTATACATTGACTACTCAATCTCGATCAACTCAAAATCACCTCTAAATAGTTCCAAATTATAGATATGACAATATTTTGAGTTTTTTTTTAGATAGAATTCACTCGAAACAATTCACATTTGCGATACATCAAATTTTAAAGAAAAAGAGGAAGCAACGTAGAAGAATAAAAAGATGCCGAAGAACAAAATTAACTCAATTTATTGAAATTGAAATCAAATCAACCAAGTGGCTAGCGCCAAATTTTTGGAGCTCGAAGATGAATATCGATCGATGAACAATCAATCAAAGTGCTCTATACTTCTTTACTATTTATATAGATTAATTTATATTGAGGAAATCACAATTTTAGTTAACATCATCATTTTTGCGAAGTAATGACATTAGTAGTTATGGAGCACAAATGACCATTTTTTTAGATTATTAAATTCCGATTCAGAGCTCCCATTGTGTTTATTTGGAACTTTTCGTAGTCAAAGTAAAGGTTTTATTTAATCACAAAAAATACTCGTTAGGGCTAATTTAATTACAAAAAATTCAAAAAGTGAGGATTGTCCAAAATCATATAAAAATATTAATTTATTCTCATCTGTTCAACGAGGGACTCAACCGTCAACACACTCCACACACCCATGACTTGATATCAGAAGCGTGGATAATTAAAATGGAAGTCCAATATTGATAAATCATGAATTGAGATGAACCTGAATCGACACCATGTTAAAAGATTGATAATTAAGCCTAATTAAGCTCCAAAAACCAGCTCAAAACGTAAAGATTATCCAAAATTATATTTTTTTAAATAAACTATTTTTTTCGCAACCACCAAATAAATCTCAACAACGTATCAACTTTAAGCGCACTTAAACTACTCATAATCATCTTTTCCTAGGGTCAAGTATTTTGTGTAGTCAAACAAGGGAAATAGGAAAATATGTTAAATAGGACATTATTTAATTCTCAAGTCTTTCGTCTCTGGTCTTCTATATATATATATATTTATTTATTTATTTTTATTTTTTTTTCCTTATAACAAAGTCAATAAAGAAGTAAAAAAATCCACTTGACCAACAATAGTGAAGAGGTAATTGGAATTAGGGTGAAGACACTTACACTTTGAGCCGTTTGATTTGAAATTAAGGAATTATAAATTTATAATATTGAATTAGTAATAATGAGGTTATTCACTATGCAGTGGATATGTTTTTTTTTAAAAATAAAATAAAATTACATAACCAAAATGAATTTCATCGTAAAAGAAGTAACAGAAGAATTTGCACTATTGAGAATGAAACTTTTTGTTTTTGGTTTCGTGTCTGATATCTGCATTGGAGCTCAACTATTTCGAATTCGCGAACCTGAGACCTCTAATTAAAGAAGGAGGAGCCTACACTATATTCTTTCGTAGTTTTGAGAAAGAGACTTTTGATCTTATTATTAAGGATCATCAAAGTTCATTAGATTTTTTCTGAATAAATATAAATTTGTTAACGAAAATAATAAACATGCATCATTTTTTAAGAAGAAAAGAGTGTATAAATAAATTTTTTAATAAAAAATATATATTCGCTCTGAATCGCAAAATCGAATTGTATTTCAAGATTCCACTCCAAAATACTATCAAACAAGGGTCCATGGGGTTGGCACGTGCATTGTTGTCATATGAAATATGGTTAGTTGATCACACCATTTTGTACTCTTAAGTCTGTCCTCATCGATGGTGACTAAAATAACTCATTATTAATTTAAATAATTAAACTTTGCTTAGTTGGTGTTGGATCCCATCAGTCTTTTAATTATTAAATGAGTTATTGTTTGTAAATTGCTGCTACAACTAATATAAATAAATGATTTTGAGTTATATACATTAAAAAAAAATACAGTATATCTTTATTCTATTTGCAGTGTAGTCTATTATGGTCACTAATTAATGTATATTACAAAAATTATTATAGTAATTATTTACCTTATCGATGTATATGTTTAAGTGACACAACTTTATAGTCAAATGTAAACATGTATAATTATTTGTTTTTCGCCTAAAAATTACAGAACAATTGTGTTAGTTTAGTTTAATATTAAAATTATTTATAGTGGGATGGGTAAATAAATTTAAATATTGACTTTTATTTTATATCTAAAAATTAGTACTCCCTCGATCCTAATTTCTTTTTCTTTTTCAGTCAAACTCAAGACACAATCAACATTTCATGTTGGATTACATTTATTTGGCAAAAATAAATAAATAAAGAAATTCATAAAGGTATAGTTTTCAATTTATTTATTTTAAAAATAATTCTAAAATATCTTCTCATATTTCTTAAATTTGATGGTCAGTCAAATCATATTAGTAATAAATTAAAAATAGAGGGACTATGATTTTAGTACCGACGAGGTAATTTTTTACCTTTTTTTAGTTTGTTTTCGGTGTATGTCCGGTATTCATATTAGAGTTCGATTAAATTTAGATTCGCGTTGGAAAGTCCCACATTGAGGATAAAGCTTAAACCCAAGACCCTGATTAATGATGAAGGAGTATTTATAACCACTCCACCACTAGGGATGTGTTATGACCGAAGTAATTAGGTGTCATGCGGAAGCTAGCAAGACAAACCTCGAAAAATCATGAGTAAGAAGATAAACGAGAAATATATCAAAAGACACAGATTTAATGTGGTTCGGCCAACTGACCTATATCAACATAAGGAGATGAGCAATTCACTAATCATAAGAGTACAAAATATAGAGGGGAATAACCTCACACAATTCACTCAGAATACAAAGAGGTTCACACAAGTGATCACATATCACTAAGACGTTTCTCCCCTACACAAAACTCTCAAAGCTCCTAGGACTACATTGTAAATGCTACTATGTTAGAAAGAACGAGTCTCTAGTATCCTAAACTTTTTCCTATCGGAAAAGAACTAGTCAAATATGGAGACTTTGTGTTTTCTTTTTCCTTAAAGAGAAAATTCAATTATGATAAGAAAGTTAGGCAAATACCCAACATTGTGTTCATGGTTCAATTTGGATCGGTTATTGGTTAAAATCACAACTAAACCAATTTAGTTGGTATTTAAATTTCTAAAACCAAACCAAATCAAATCAAAAAATAACCGTCAGTTTAGTTATTGTCGGTTTGGTTTTTTTGTTTTTGTTTTTTCGATTTGAAAGTAATAAGTTTGTTAAAGGCATACTAAATACTAATTTTGATAGACACAAACACTTATTACATGAACAATCCACTGGAAAGTTAATATGGATTCAATTCAGCACTTAAAAAAATCATTATTATACGAACCAAGTGATTTAATTAAACAATACTAAAATCATCATACACCAAAGATCAAAAGATCAAAATTTTATAGCAAAAAAAATAAAATAACCCCAAGCTCAACATTGAGGAACTATCGGGGAAAGGGATACAAAGAAAATTATATATCAAAACACTAATAAGAATTTTTATATTTTATTTATGAATAATATAAATAATTATAAATTATATATATAATTTCTTGATCCAATTTGGTTATTTTTTTGCTATTTGTTAAAAATGAAATCAAAATCAAATAAAAAAAATATTAATTTTCAAAATCCAATACTACCAAACAAACTAAATATTGATTTCTTAAATCCATTTGGTTCAGATTACGATTCGATTTGATTTTTTAACTATAATCCTTCGACAATTTTTACCTTGTTCATATACAGTTACTATTTTGGAGTCCTTTTTAAATATATTCCACTACCTATTTTCAATCCACAGACTCAAATCGCCTCAGAGTTTGGAATTTTCTTTCAACTGTACTACTCTCTCTCTCTCTCTCTTTCTCTCGATAATGACTCAAGTTGATTTGGAATCACTAGTTTCCACCAATTCCGGCGGAAGTAATGACCGGAAAATTGTATGTGAAACTCTAGCGAAAGCCGCCGGCGTCAAACCGGAGAAAAATGATATTCCAGACGACGAAAAGGAACTTCCGCCGGATTTCCCGCCGGAGTCATTCTGCCTTTCGAAAGATGCTGAACTCGATTGGTTTGATAGAAACGCTGTTCTGGAGCGTAAGGAATCAGCAAAAGGTAACAGTTCACACGGAACGAATGTGACTTCAAATTTGCATCCAAATTTGAATTCAAACTCACAACGAATTCCATTGACTTTGAAAACTAAAACTACTTTCTTCGGTTTACCGAAGAATAGTTCCGTTGATTCAAAGAGGAAAACATGTAAACCGGCGAATATACGTTTTTTTCCGACGAAACGATCTGAATCGGCATTGAAAGCGGTTTCCGCTCCTGAACCGGTATCGCCGAAGGTATCATGTATGGGAAGAGTGAGATCGAAGAAAGGTCGCAGGCGATCATGTGAAGCATCACAAAAATGTGAAATATCACTCCAGAGATCAAAAAGCAGCAGAACACCTAAACGGAAAATCGGATTCTATACACGAGTGCTTTCAATGTTCGGATTCAGTCGGAGTAACATCAAACCGGTGAAGGATAGTATCGAGAGAACGCATGATTCCATACCGGAAGAGCCAGTTCCGCCGAGAAAGAGCAACGCTGTGGTAATCGAAAAGGTTCGTAAAGTTCCGGTGAGTTTTGAACCGGTTTCGGTTTCCGATTCAAGCGGTTTAGGAGGGATGATGAGGTTCACGTCGGGCCGGAGATCGGAATCCTGGGCCGCCGATGAGATCGATGCAGTGCTTTCAGAGTTGGGTACAGATCGAAAAGTGGGTCCCAATATAAGAAATTGAATTCCAGTGAAGGAGCGCGCGGAAGTCATTTCTACTATGGTTAAAAAAAATTCCGTTAATCCAACGTGGCAGTAAAATTTACTCTTTTTTTTCTTATTCTCAACCAGTTGAGCAATTTCTTTTTTTAATTTTTGTTGGTTCAACTAGTTATGCGAGAATTATAATGTAAATTTAGATGTATTACTCTCGAAAAGAAATCTATCATTTCTCTTCCATGATTAGATAGTAGGTGTAACGATATATTTACTTCATAGGTAAGGTTTGTGGTTCAAGTCCAGGATGACTAAGCTTAGCCAGAAAAATAAATAATAGAAGAAATATTTGTCTACTTCATAGTTCATACATACTCCACTTAGTTCGGGATATAACTCAGTTGATAGAACTCCGTTCTTGTAATTGGATCGTTGCAAGTATAAAATTGAGATTTAGTTGTCCAGACGATAATAATAGTGTTTTCTACTTAAACTTTTTTGAATAATGCATATACGTGAATGTTATACATAAATTAATTACTATGTATCCAAACACTTTTATTTTTTAATTTGCTAATATTCTTAATCTCATTTCATATTTATTGTACTTAAGATTAAAAAAAAATAAAAAATCAAACAACTCAACATTTCGAAAGATTGGTACAATAATAATGTTGAATGATAGGTGAAGTAATATTTAACATGTTCAATTTATGACATACTACAGATTTTACATATTTAATAATATTACCGTACATAAAAGGAATCTATAGTTTATTTACATAATAAATCAATACGGAGATATATAGAATAGCATCCAAAGAAACAAAGTGATAAGAAAGTTATACTCCATTCAAATTCACGCTTTTGATATTACTTCATTTACTCTATGGAGTTTAATTGTAGTAATATTTTAAAATATATTTTTTCGTCATATTGATAAATATAACATATAATATTTCGTATTATTATTAAATATTTAAATTTTAAATTAGTTTTAATTCAATTAATCATTTTCAAAAATTAGTCAAATAAACTTTCATAAATTGAAACATGAAAAAAAAAAGAAAAAGGGAGAGAGTACATGTCAAAATCTCAAAATGCAAGTTTCTTTGAATTAGGACAACTTTGAATAATGTGACATGTTAAAATATTGTTGCTGCATGTAGATCCGGTGAAAAGGATTTAACTTCAACTATATAATTTTGACATAGTCAAAAGTTCAACACTAATAAGTCATCATATTAATAAGTTAATTAGTGGTGGAGTCAATTTTTTTATAAGGGTGTTAAAATAGTGTTTGCAATCCTTTAATCACTACACTAAATCTTTAACTTGTATTAAAAGGTGTCAACACTTATATATATATATATATAAAAAAAATCAAATTTTGACCTATATATGCAATGTAATTTTCTAACGAAGGAGTGTCGCTTAACACCCCTTTGCCCTATGGTAGCTCCGCCCCTGAAGTTAATGACCGCACTTTCTAATATTTTACAACAAATTATGCTACATTTATACAATACAATGATATCACACCAAATAATAATAACAATACATTAAGCTAATCTTACAAAATAATGTCTGAAAAAAGGTAAAATATATACACATGTATTATCTCTATCTTGGATTAGAGACAAATTTAAATCGATAAAACATGAATACACCACTAAAAAGAAGTAGGAGAACGTAGTAAGTGACAATTGATCTCTATGCATGTAGGTAAATTAAACAACTCAACGTTTAATCAACTGCAATATTTCACCTTCTTATAGCATGCATGAATGTCAGCAGATAATATTATACTAATTTTAAATCATATACACAGATAAAATATCTAATTTTACAAATAAAATCATAATTTCACACACTCATATAGCATATAAATTCACTACTACTCTTATAAAATAGAAATATTGTTTTTGATAAATCCGAAAAATATGCACATAGGGAGAAGAGGAAATAATGGGAGCTCAAAAAAACGTACTCTGTCGAAGACACAACTGAGCGTCATCACATGAATCTGCTTCACAGGCGCTGCTACCACGTTGATCTGATATATTTGCAAATAGACAATTAAACTCAATTATAGATACACAAAAAAATGGATATACAATTTTATTAATTATTTATAACAAACAACTTCAAATTAATATATAATAATAATAAATATTTCTACTCATCTATTAGATCTCTTAAAACATATATAAGATTTGAATAAAAAAATATCGAGTTCACGTCAGAAAAATATAGAGTTCTCTATTTTATCAGACAACTAATTTCAACTCAATTCTCTATTTACCTCTTTAAAAAATATTTTTCTTCTCTCCTTAATATTATATTAGTATTATTTTTATTTCATAATATAAATCATTTTTTTTAAATAATCATTTTATATAATTTTTATGTGATATAAAATTTATTTTTTCAAATTCTTTATTTAATATAAAATTATATTTTATTTTAAATTTTTAAATAACATAAATTACAAGCAACTATTATATAATATACAAAATAATGGACAATTCAAATAAAAGTGAAATCATTAATGAAATACAATCATATAAACATTACATAAATACTCAACTTTCAAGATTATTATGTTACTCCTGTAAATGCTCTATTAATGCATTATATATGGAGTTGAAAATGAGCATGTTTGCCCTTAGTTTTTTTATGTCTAGCTAAAAATTATTCAAATTGGAGGTTTTCAAATTTATTAGTGACGAAAAGTAAAAAAATAAATTAACAAATTATTAATTCGGGACGAAAATAGTATATATTAAATAATATATTATGAATACTAAATATTTAATTAATGGGATTATAGGTAAAATAATATATTCATTACAAAATAATAAAATAATGAAAAAGTAAATAGAGAGTGTGAATAGTAGTTCTCCAAAGAACTACTATTCACATCTTTATAATTAGAGAATAGAATGTATATGAAGATGGATTGGAGAGGGTATTCTCTATTTTACCATCCAAATATAGAGAACGGAGGGTAAAATAGAAATGAGTCGAAGATGGTCAAATAAATCCTTAAACTATATTATTATAGTATATATAAGTTTATTCCAAAAATTTATAGGTCTTGAACATCTTGCGTGGCAAGAATCAAGATGTGACAATACAAAAGAAAACAAATTGCATGAATGAGGTAGCAAAATAAAATAAATTATGAAAATAAATATTTAAACGAAAAAAATAAGGACAAAAATTAAATGTTTCCATCTATTGGAACTTAACTATGGTTAAGCGGGTGGGGAACAAGACTACAAGAGGATTATGAAAAATTTAAAGTCGAAACAAATTGCTTCCATGTTGTTAATTCTGTTAAAAATATATGATATATAATATTACGTTTTTAGCTAATTAATAAAAAAAAATATTTACGTAAAACTATCAAGACGAATATCATAATTATATGAAGAAAGCTAAATAAATACGCAACTTCCAACAATTAAAGATCTACTAATATGGAAATAGGCGATTAAGACTATAATTTCTTTTTGCTTTTAATAGATTTAAGAAATGTAACTTATAATTTTTTTAAATTTTCGATGTATAAAAAAAATAAAGGACCAAGGCACATGAGGGAGATAAAATCTTCTATTATACTATCAAAACTTATATTTAGTGATATAATTAGAGTTTTCGTATGAATACAAATCAAATTCGTCCCCAAATTATTTTTTGTATAATTTTATTTTTTATACAAGCATTATTATATAAATTATTGACTAAACTTTCAAGTCATGGGCAAGCTTTCATTGTCATTTATGAGGAAATTATTTAAACACTATTTCATGAAGGGTCCAACACGTTTTCTCCCTTTCCTTTTTCAAAATTTATGTTTTATTTTTTTTGGATTTTGTCTGATTTTTCTTTCAAAAAATCATGTCAGGATCATAACTTGTTCATCAAAATAAGTTTATGATTGAAGTAACAAATAAGTATCAAATACTGATTATTTTTTTTATAAATACATATACAATTATATATTTAGCTAGATAAAATTATTGAAATTGACAATAAACCGCTAGTATATTTGGTAAAAGATGTTGATAAGCATTTTTTTATGTTAAAATGATTGATATATCCTTATATGTATATAACATATATATTCTTGCATAAAAAGAATGAATAGTGGAAATAAAAAGAATGAATAGTGGAAATAGATAAAGAAATAATTAAAAGTTATGTTTTTATAAAGAACATTTCAAAGATTAAAGAAGATATTAGACATAAAAGATCTTCTCAATCAATAGTGCATCGTAAGTTAGGGCACTCAATTTATGACTTTTGATCGATTTTAATTAGCTCATAAACACATGGTCTATAAAAACTTGGGAAAAAGACAAATATACCCCCGAACTATCGTAAATGGTATGCAAATACCCTC